ATCCCAGAGTCCTGGGATCGAGCCCCGCATCGGGCTTCCTGCTCAGGGGAGAGCCTGCTTCTCCCTCTCCCTCTGTCTGCCGCTCTGCCTACTTGTGCTCTCTATCTCTGTTAAATAAACAAATAAAAATCTTTAAAAAAAAAAAAAAAAGAATTGTGATTTCCTAATTTTGTTTTTTAAGCATTCTAGCTTACACCTTTTAAGCAATCTTACCCAGAAGAGGCAAACAACAAAGAGTGTTATTACATGTATAACAAAAATCTTGTTTATCTAAAATTTTCTAAGATGCCTAAAGGTGCACATTTAGTAAATTATGTGCAATGGTAAAATAGTCAGTGACGTTTCCCTGAAAGTAAAGTTCCTTCTCTATAGAAATTTCACTTAGGTCTCCTCTCCATTAACAAAATATCTTTTTTGTTTAAAAAAAATACCATCACTAAAATATGTATTGCTCAAGCCACACATTCTTGCATATAAACTATTCCACCCTCCCAACCAGTAAGTTCACTGAAGAAAACAGTCATGTCTTATGTTTTCTGATCCTCTCTGTAGCACCAATGGCATTTTACAAAAGCATAGAATTTAACAGAGGAATTGAAATTGACCTATTTCAATTTTCCCTTTCTAAAATATAATGCAGAGTTCAGCTGGTTTTTAAAAAAACTGCTGAATCTATCTGATAAGAAATCCATAGCTTGGACACTCCAACTGCTACTAGAACAACTGGGTAAACGAAAAGAATCCCCCTAGTACATGCCAATTGGTATTTACGTTGTTTAAAAAAAAGTAATTCGGGGCGCCTGGGTGGCTCAGTCGGTTAAGTGGCTGCCTTCGGCTCAAGTCATGATCCCAGGGTCCTGGGACTGAGCCCCACATCGGGTTCCTTCCTCAGCAGGGAGTCTGTTTCTCCCTCTCCCTCTGCCTGCTCCTCCCCCTGCTTGTGCTCTCCCTCTCTCTATCAAATAAATAAATAAAATCTTTAAAAAAAAAAACAAAAAGAAACAAATAATTCATCAAAGGAGGGAGAACTGAAGATATTAAGGGCTCTAGCTAAAACATTTCCAAATCTTTGACAGTCTATCAGAAAGAATTTGTTTAATTCTCACAGAAAGTTACCTGAAAGTCTTCATTTGAAATAAAATTAAAAGAAATAGAGCAACTTTTTGTTTGTGGAAACAAAGTTCAGCAAGTGTCAATTTCCATTAGAATATACCCATTACTCAAGCCCGCAGAACTCTGAGTGTAAAAGTGCATAATATTAACACTGCACATTTTTCTGAACTACACACCATGATGTCTTTCCTTTTGGGTGTACTGGCTCTGCTCCAGTGTGTCCCAGTTATGTCCTTCGATGGGTTCTTCCATGGAATTAAACAGTGTAGTAGTAAATGACAAAACACAAATTGCAAGCATATTAAAATTAAATTCATTAAAATTATATTAAGGGTATTGATAATTAAAGAGGAACTAATATATACAACAGTAAAAATCTGCACCAATAAGAAATTGCAATGTACCCCTACTACTCTGGTTCAAGATGGCCTCAATTTTCTAATTTTGGACCTCTACCTTATAGTCTTCTCAAATTTCAATATAAAAAGCAGTGACCAAGCATTTTTAAGATGTTTTTCAAAGGCAGATTGTTGTTTAAAGAAACAGACTGTTTAAATTCTAAGCTCAGGGCTTTGATTTCTTCCTCCTTCCCCCAAACCTATCATTCACAGTCTTGAACTATCTTTGTTCTTTTAATTTTTTATAGAATGTCTATAACATGGACACCATTTCCAGCCCAAATACCTTCTGGCTGGTCATCTTTCAAGAAAGTATTAACTGAAGTTAATTGGATAAAAAAAAGATTAAAGTCCTAAGAATATGACAGAAAACCTTAAATACATCTGCCTCACATCCAGGTACTGCTTATGTTCACACATCAAATACAAAGTCCAAAAGTGTTAGACCTTTTTAATATACAGCTCATACATTTTAAAAAATAACTGGCAAAGAAATATCAAAACTCCCAAATTATATAGCAAATCCCAATAAAGTTTAGGTCAGTGTTTTAGGCCATCACATTTATTTTTAAAAGAGAACAAAAGCTGTCTATATATTCAGCTTAATGTATGTGGTAGTTATTTTTTTTTAACTTTTATTTAAAGATTTTATTTATTTGTCAGAGAGAGAGACTGAGAGGGGCGCCTGGGTGGCTCAGTCGTTAAGCGTCTGCCTTCGGCTCAGGTCATGATCCGGGGGTCCTGGGATCGAGCCTCACGTTGGGCTCTCTGCTCTGTGGGAAGCCTGCTTCTCCCTACCCCATTCCCCCTGCTTGTGTTCCCTCTCTGGCTGTCTCTCTGTCAAATAAATAAAAATCTTAAAAAAAAGAAAAAAAAGAGAGAGAGACAGAGAGAGCACAAGCAGGGGGAGTGACAGGCAGAGGGAGAAGCAGGCTCTCCGCTAAGCAGGGAGCCCAACGCGGAACTGGATCCCCGGACTCCAGGATCAGGATCATGACCTGTGCCAAAGGCAGACGCTTAACCAACTGAGCCACCCAGATGTCCCGTGGTAGTTATTTTTTTAAAAAGTAAATAATCTGGGGGCTCTAGCTGGCTCAGTTAGTAGAGCATGCGACTCTTGTGAGCCACCCAGGTGACCCCCCTAATTATATTTCTTTTAAACAATGTTATCAGTGAGCTTTCAGACTTATTTCCAGGAAATCTAACTATTTAAAATGTGCTGGGTATACACTCATACACAATAACGTACTAGAGTCTCCTCTAGGGTGTAAAATTTTTATTAATCTTCATGTTCACACTCAGATTTTTTAAAATACTGGGAGCTTTACTCTTTACCACAGTAGCAAATTTTCACACTTACCATAGTGAAATAAAATGCTGTGAGAGTTCTAGTTTTATCTTAAATTTATTTAATGATATAATTTCCATAAAAAGAAAATCATCATTACTTTATAGACATTCATGGTAACCAATTCCTTATTAGCTTAATTGCAGGTTTAATTTCTCTTATGCTTGTTTGCAGATTTGTTTTAGAGGCTCCTAAATTAGGGGTGCCTGGGTGGCTCAGTCGGTTAAGCATCTGCCTTTGGCTTAGGTCACAATCCTGCAGTCCCGGGACTGAACCCCGCGTCAGGCTCCCTGCTCGGCTCCCCGCTTGGCTCCCTGCTCGGCTCCCCACTCAGTGGGAAGTCTGCTTCTCCCTTTCCCTCCGCTCCTCCCCCCTGCTCGCTCTCTCATGTGCACACACTCTCTCTCTCAAATAAACAAATAAAATCTTTTTTAAAAATGATAAAAAAATAGTTTCTTAAATTAGGTCAAACTTGGATGGTTCTTCAGTTCGGTTAAGCTAATATTAATATATAATCAAGTTTCCCTTAGACCACATAGAAAATTATAAATAACCAGTTTGATGATAACTGTGTGAAACTTCATACTATGAACATTATAATGAAAAGCAAAGGAAAAAGCCATAAATTTTTTAAAAATGGGGAGAGATTGTTTTCAAACTCTCAACACTCAACTTTCAAGCTTTTATTGACTAACTCCCTATATGATGTTTAAAGAGAAAAAAAAATCTCCAGGGAGAAGCAGGATGAATTTATTATCTTAAAAAATGTTTCTCCTGTAAAATCATTCTTAAGTTGCTGATTAGGTTGCCGTGAAGGCTTGTTAATATTCTTATAAATCTAAAGTTTTGCAATTAACTAAAATATTTATGATTCAAAAACAAGTGTACTGACTTCTGTAAAAAGAGAAAGTAGATTACATTCACCAGTAAGAAATATGACTAGAGTAAAGGACTATTTAAGAGTACAAACATATCTGTAACTCATATACCAAACACACTTGGTTTATTATATAACACAAGATAGGAAGAAAACTAGCCTTAGGGAAAGTTAACCATTATAGACCGCAACATGAAAGATCATTTTACTGATGAAAAATCTAGATATACACATAATAATATTGTCAATGCACAAATTAAACACATTGCTTTAAGGTTTAAAGCACAATTCTTTAAAAAGAGATCAGTGTCTTGGCACAATATACAAGACTTTAATGAAAGAAGTCTCATTTACCTTGATTTACAGCAATGTATGCTAAAAAGCTAAGGCATACTTCAAAATGTTGAGGTTTGGTAATTACTATAAATATGATAAGCAGGGAATTTTTCAATCAGTAGCTCAATTTTTCCATATAATAAAACTAGAATTAGTTAACCAAGCCCCAAAGCTATTACCCATTTAATAAATTATTATTTTAAAAAATAGGAAAGTAGGAAAATCTAAAAGTTGAACCACACAGATGTCATTCCATAAAAATCAATCTTCTTATTTTGCGATACTTTTCCAAAATCAAAGGTCCTTTTATACAAAAAGAGTAATACATATGTTAATAGTTTAAAATATTCATGATTGTAGAATTGATTTATATTGATTATAGCAATAATTTAAGAGAAAGATCACTTTCCAATGAAAGGACTTTGCCAATATTTTCTGTTTGTTTTTTGTTTTTTTAAGGCAAAGCAATATGAACACTGTCAGATTGTTCAGGCAATAATGCTGCAGAAAGCTCGAACATATAAGCTCTGCTATCATGGTACAAACAACTTAAAATACCAACCCTGTGACTGCCAAGACTTCGAATGGACAACGCATCCTCAACTCCCTGATAAGAACAAAAACAAACATAGCATAAGTTTGTGGGTGACTGCATGAAGTTAAAGAGGGGCAAGTATTAGGGGCAAGTTTATTGGTTATTACAAACCAGATAAGGTCGATGATGACTGGACCGGTGGGAATACCTGGCCCTTTCTGAATCTTCCTGGGAAAGGAGAAAGTACATGGAGAGTTAATCACCGGACAGAAGGGTTGTCTATCAGAAGAACTGCGCAAACAACAATCGGTTAGGAGCACAGCAGCACCTTCCTTATAGCAAGCAGGTGTGGACAACTCAGCTTCTAAAGTTGGTTTTGGGGCAGCCACATATTTCAGGTGGAAAGCAAGTAGCAATAATAATCTTGTGTATGTGTGTCTGACCACTTGTGGAATGTAATCTATAAACAACCAAGAGAGCTCAATATACCAAGATAAAAATAAGCAAGTATACTTAATAAACAGAAATTGAGTTCAGCATTAAGGGGCGCCTGGGTGGCTCAGTCGTTAAGCATCTGCCTTCAGCTCAGGTCATGATCCCAGGGTCCTGGGATCGAGCCCCACATTGGGCTCCCTGCTCTGCGGGAAACCTGCTTCTCCCTCTCCCACTCCCCCTGCTTGTGTTCCCTCTCTTGCTGTCTCTCTCTCTCTGTCAAAGAAATAAATAAAATCTTAAAAAAAAAAAAAGTAGACTTTTATCTATTCTTTTTTCATTGTGAATGTTCATTTATGCAAGGCAGGAAGAAATGTTTATCACAAAGATAGTTTAAGGACTTAAAAAATTTTGGGTCATAAATAATTTTGTGCTCACTGCAAAAGAATTTCTTTTTGTTTTCTTGCACCCCTCCACCTGGAAAAGAAAAGAATAACTAAATAAAATAACCCCTGTGTCTTGTTAATATGAAAAACTACTTATAATTAGAAGAAACTACATAAATATTTTAGAGTTGGTAAAGTTATTTCAAGAGTTATGCCTCCTGAAGATGGTAAAAAAAAGAAAAGAAAAAAAAACAAACATGACCACAGCCTAAGAGTTGACTAAATTAAATGCAATTCTAAACTTTTTGACAGTCAGCTATTAGCAATGGAGCATTAAGTCCTGTCTGTGAGATCAAATGACTAGTTCCTAGAGTCTAATCACTGCAACAGTAAGGAACTTCTGATCTTTCAGAATTTCAAAGTCCAAAGTGTTAAAGTAATTTGCACTAACTAAGAATCTACACACAACTGTCCAGTTGGGTTCATGGCTAATCAACGCTGTCTTTTCCAAAATGAATCAATACCTCAACACCACGTGGCACTACAGCATGATCGTTACAGGTGGAACAAATAGATGTGGTTATGTCTGATCATTTCAAATTATAGAAACAGTAACTCAACAGAAACACCACAATCTAATGCCTTATTTTGGTCATGATCTTTCAGCATCCTTCAAAACACTCCTGGTTGTCATCTGCTGTGTATACTGATGCATGTGATCAAATCTGTTCAGAAGTCTGTATAAGCGCCAATATGATTCAATGATATAAAACCCAACAGAGTGTTCTGAACTTTGGAAGTTCATCACTGGTTTACATTTTTGTTATGTAATAGACACATGTAATCTGCAAGAAGCCAAGCAAATTTCTTCCTTTTTCCCTATCAGGTTATATACCACAAAAGTTTTGGGAGCATGTGCATAAACCCAGCAGAGTAGGCACAGTTTATTGAGTGGTAACCAGTTCTGAGCTAGTTAGCTTTAAAGAACCTTGTGCTATTCAGGCAGCCTAATTCTACACACCCCTTCCCAGTCTTATTTGGGGTACTAGGGCAACCTACATAGTTTAATGTTCAATCTTCCCTTTAACCTTTTTTTTCATTCCACCTACCACACAAGAGCACTTTTTAAAAATTGACCTCTAAAAACCACAGCTCATTAAAGATGCAGCAAAGACAGATGAATTCATATTTATTTTCAATTATGCTACTTATAAAAATAATTCTTAATAAAACAACTTATTTTTTAGCCCCGTTTGGGGAAAAAATGGCCTAAAAAGACCTTAGAAGACTACAGAATAAAATGTAAACCCCATACAGGCCAGTTAATGTGAACTGCGAGAATACAGCTTATTCCACTCATAAACTACACCTTAAACCAGCACTGTCCACCAGAACTTTCTTTGACAAAGTGGAAATGTTGTGTCTGTGCTATCTAAAACAGTAGCCAATGGCCATTTGTGGCTATTGACCACCTGAAATGCTAGAAGTGTAACTGAGGACCTAAATTTTTAATTTTAATCTATTTAAGTCTAAATGTAATTACCCACATATGGCTGGTAGCTACTGTTCAAACAGTAAGGCGAACCCAAAGCAAATTTTCATTATACCAAAAAACCCACAAAGCACATATTTTACTAAGAGGCTGCCATGTAGTGCCACTCTTATATAAAGAGGCAGGCATTCAGGTAGTTGTGAATTACTGCCCCTACCTTGAATACTTCTGCACAGTGACAAATATGAGAGAAAGAGAAGGAAACTCTTGTATAAAAGACCCTAGAATTATTTTTAAGAGCTAGAAAGTTCCCTAGAGATTATACAATCTGATCCCTTCATTTTAAAGTAAAGAAAATTGCACCACAAAAAGATTAAGTAGGAATCCACAAAGACATAAAGCTGGGACAAGCATTCAAATCTTCTGACTCACTAGACCACCAAACCATAAAGAGACCATCCTACACTGGCTAAATCTACACTGATTACAAAACAAGAGCATGAAGAAAATGGCCAGGTAGCCTGGGTTTTACTCAAAGATTTCTCTTTCTCTGGAAGAACAAGCAACTTCATTTCCCAGGTATTCTAGAATAGTATTTTAAACTGCCAATTGGCTTTTCCTGAATTAATAGCACCAGGGGCCAAGAGAAAAAATTTCAGCAACTGTGTTTCTAGGTACCAACTACAAGGCTGACTATCCTTCTCGTCCAGTCTGGGAAACAATCCATTTTCATTGTCCTGGAAGTCATTAGCAGTATAAAGGATCCAAGGCAGAAAAAAACAGGACAATGCCTTAAAAAATGGATGTATAGGGGAGCCTGGGTGGCTCAGCTGGTTAAGCGACTGCCTTCGGCTCAGGACATGATCCTGGAGTCCCGGGATCGAGTCCCAGGATCGAGTCCTGGATCGAGAGTCCCGCGTCCGGCACCCTGCTCAGCAGGGAGTCTGCTTCTCCCTCACCCTCTGCCTGCTGCTCTGCCTGCTTGTGCTCGCTCGCTCTCTCTGCCAAATGAATAAATAAATGGATGTATATTTGTTCAAGGCTTTCTGGAAAATTGTTTTGATACTTTTAAATTAATGGAAATGAAACATAGACTGCTTTTAAAAATTCACCTGATGTGGGGATGAAGTGATTTTACTGAAATAAGACAACATCCCACTGAAAACACCTGGCCCTGTTCTCTGTCAACAAGTAATATTTAACTCAAGGCTAGAGCCATTCCCTCAGTTTCAAATTAGGAAACCTCAGAAGTCGCACGTTCTTTTCCAGGTCACGACATGCTGATGGAGACACTCGGTTTAAAAACAGAAACACTGGCCTCACTAGGGCTGTCTGGAGGCCTACAAAGACTTGGGCCCTTTCATCTTGGTCCTTTCACCTTCCAACCCATTAGCAGGTGTGGCGCTCTCTCTGACCTTTGAATTCTGGCTCTGCCAATGACTGAGCAAGTTGTTGGCTTCACCAATCCTTCATTACCTTATCTGTAAAATGGAGATGGTGGTCCTTATCTTATCATGTGAAATGGAGACATATGTAAAAACCACTAGCACAGTGCCAGCATACAAATCGCACTCATTGTTAGCTTTATTCCTGAGCCTCATGCCCTGGCTTTTCCTGTTCACATCCCCCAACATCCACCCCCACACCCAGAAAGTGTGAAAATTAGGAGAAATGTTTAACATGGGTACATTTTTCCTTCTAATAACTGACAACCCTATTATTTGTATATGCATTATTTTATTATAAATTTATTGTTCTTTATATCTTACATTGTGACTACAACATGCCAACTTCTACTATAGGCTCATAGACAGAATGCAGCCAGAGAGACAAATAAGCTGAAAAGTGAAAGGAAAAATTAGTTTGAAAAGAGTAAAAGCAAATGTCAGAAGGGGTTAAGTGATAATCATTCCCACCTGAAACTAAACCCCATCCATGTTCTCTGCGAGTTGGAGCTATCACTCAGAACTTGAGTTAGTCACCATCTGCATTCTAAACCTGTAAACCCAAAATGTTCCCCCTTCCATGAAAATCTAGTGCACTCACTTCCTGAACTGCACACATTTCAAAGATAAAAAATATGTTTTTATCTTCATGGCCTTGGAATATGAGAATCAAATATGAGACTTTCAATATAGGCTTTTCTTCTTATTTAATGTTTTGTGCGCCCTAAGATAATAAAATCTCAGGCAGTTTAATTTTAGATCTGTAATACATAATTTTAAAAAATGAAATTAGTATTTCCATGGAAAATTTGCAAGCAAAAGTGATTTCTTTTATTCACACAAAATGTTCTTAATGCATCAACAGTAAGATAACCCAGTTTCATGCAGAAGACACTTTAAATAAAACCAATTAGGCTAGCTTTAGTAACAAGAAAGGACAGATTCTACTCCAAAGTAACAAACACATTCATGAGGAATCACTTAATTATAAGTAACCAAACATCATCTTTCTCTCCTTTCTAAAATATCACAATGAGAAGTATGATAAAGTTTTAAATCTGTAGGTCAGTACTGTCATAAATATTTTTTACACTCATAAATATTTTAATTCTGGTTGTACTTCAAAATGCTGCTACAGAAGGAATTTGCTTATAAAAATTTCTTGTTTAACAGCAATCAGTGGTTCCTAACCCTTTAGGGATCACAGACTCCCTTGAGAATCTTGTGTTCATAACACCTGTGGGGCATTTCACTTAAAAATATACATACATTCAAAAGTCTGCGTGAGATTTTAAGGCTTCCTGCTCCATCTCCCAAGCCTATTCACATGCAGGAAGAACCTCTGCAATAGGAGACAGCTGGTGAAATTACCAACATTGAAAAAAGTTCAAATTTAGGAATGATTCCCAATAACTAATATTTTACTGGTTCACGATTTGCTCTTTGGGAGTGGTGGTAGAAGATTCGAAAAGGAACTGAGAGAAGTGAAAACATAAGAGTAATTTTCATAGAAAATTAAAGAATGACTTGGGTCATCTCTCAATGAGGACATTTCTGCCTAGTTTTTTTAAAAAAGAGAGAAAGGAAGGGGGGAAGGAGGGAGTAAAAGAGAGAGGGAAAGGAGAGGGGGACAAATTTGAGGGAGACAAGAACAAACTCAGAGAAAGAAAACACATCCATTCACTCAGTCTTTCTTGGTCAAGAGCATTCATGACAAAAGTGTGAGGCTGTAGACTACAACAGAAAATGGATGGACTCCAAGTACGTATTTGGTCCACTACAGACAGAAGAGACACACTCTAACCTTTAGGTTCAAACATGGCAAACACTCCTACTTGGCAAACTATTAGTGAATGTTTTACTTCAAGATTGCATTATTTCAGCAACTGATCACAACATGCAGGGCAGGCAATCCTGGCCTACCAGCCACTTCTGAATCTGTCCCCATTTCCGATCAAAGGAATAATGACAGTGCTACAAATGCAAAAGTTTCATCAACTGAAGTTTCCAACATACTGCATGATCTGAAAAGTCTTAAATTAATCCTATACATTTGCCCTGAAGAGCAGTGATCGTTAGCTCAACATAAGTTACACATTCAAAATACAGATAATTACTAAGCTAAATATGCTCAACAATGAAGAGATATATGGCTCTCTGCAGTTTAGAGGAAATGGAACTTACACTTTGCAACAATCTCCTTATAATTTTACTGTAATTTTAGGAGTATAAAAGACTGTGCATTGCAACACTTTCATTTTAAGCGAAGAATTGCATTCAATATTTGAAACTATATATGAGATCAAAAACAAAAATAGCAACATAGGTATCAACTGCTTTTTGGTTTAGTTTTTGAGCTGTGAATAAAATCTATACAGTTGTCTTCAACACATTAGCAGCAGTCCACCACCAACATCAAAATAAAGTGTTTAATACTATTAATAATATCCTGCAGGCTTTTTCCCCTTTATACCAATATGGCATCAGAAATATTTTTTATGTGAATTTTCAGAGTCAGGTTGATGTCAGAAGGGAAGAGTTAAAAAGAGTATTTATTTCATTTTAAAGCAGCCCAATTTCTATATGCCTATTTTATTTTTCTATTTTTTGCTTTTCTTTCTGATGATAAAAATGTATTGAAATTTATCTATAAAAAAGCACTAAGAAAAAACCAAAACTAATCAATTCCACCATTGACAAACCAAAGTATTGATAGTAATCATTTCTAAGTAGTTTTTGTCCCTATATATGATAGTTTTTGTAACACACAATGGGAGTCCTACCAGTCTTAACAATTGTTGTTGTTGTTGTTTTTAATTTTCTTCCATGAATATCTTCCTCCATTATTAAATATGCTTCAAAACTGTAAGGTTGAATGACTTCACAGTGTTTTACTATGTAGATATCATAATATCATTAACCTAAACTCTAAGACAGTTAGGACTAGAGTAAATAACTTTGTCATCTCTAAGCTGACTTCAGCTAATATAAGTAAAGCACTTATCACACCATAACAACTTGCTACAATGCATACAGTAAGAGCTATTTATGTGTTTGCTGTTATTATTTAAAGCAAATATTATATTTAATTTGCTGTCATAGAATGGCTTGTTAAAATATACACATCAGGTTATACTATTCCCAGTGTTTCAACAGGAACCAGATTTATTTCAGAAGGAAACTAGCCAAGTATTAATTTATTTGAGACTAGCACAGAATGAGGATCATCCCCCCTAGATTACCTCTTTTTGTTGTCGCTCCAGTTCTCTCATGCGTATATCCCTTGCTTCTGCCCGGGCAGCCCGTTTTGCTGCCAGCCTTGCCTCTGCCTGAAATGTAATATAAAGATTCAGCTTTATTTACGAACAACAACAACAACCTGCACACCAGCTGTGAGGGTAAGGAGTAGATGGGACACGACCGTCCATAGCAGGTGGGCGGACAAGATACCCTCTCGCTCAGCTGTGTGACCACCTCAGTCAGCTCCTGTACACTCGTTTCTTTGTTCTAGCCCAGAGTCTCTCCTGAAATCTGCGCCTTTATTTTTAACTGCTTGCCTTGATTCCACGTTCAAAACATTTCACACAATTCATTATGTCTCTGCAAACTCACTTTTTCCAAAATTTCTTTCCCTATCAATTCAGTCATACAAATTAGAAACTTCAGACTCTATTTCATTTTGGACATTGCCAATATCCAGTCTTAAAGTACTGCCAATTCTCTACCGCTGGGTTTCTCTCACCCCCATGGCCTGTTATGCTGTTATTATGCTGTTTCTGTTTCAGGAACTCTTCGTATCTTCCTCCTTTTAAACTGGCATGCAAATCACATACCATCAAATTCACCACTTACAACTAGACAATTTGGTGGCTTTCGGTACTACAGTCACAAGGTTGCACAACTACTACTACCATCTAATTCCAGGATATGTTCCCCACCACGCCCATTAGTAGGCACCCCTCGTTCCCCCTCCTCCCAGCTCCTGGAAACCACTAATGGTACTTTGTCTCTACAAATTTACCCATTCTCAAAATTTCGTATCTGTGAAATTACACAATAGGAACTCTTCATCTCTTGTTTGAACACTACAACTGCAACTGCCTTCAAATTCACCTACCTGCCTCCAGAAGCTGCCCTATAATTCCCTTCTACAATGTTACAGGATTGCCAATCTGCCTTTCAAAACACGTTTCCGATCATATCAGTGAGCGGTGTAAAGCCCTCCCCTGGCTCCCCAGTACTTCTGGTTAAAGCAAAATTCCACAGACTAGCACAAAGACAAGAGAGAGAGAAGAAAAGCACAAATAGAAATAAGGTCCCTCCCAGTCAGATCTCCCCCTTATTTCCCAGGACTTGCTCCATATGAACAGCTGCAGGCCACCTACCTCCATCCAGGACTTCACGGTGCTCCATTAAGCCTCACTTCAGCTCAGGTAATGATCTCAGGGTCATGAGATGGAGCCCCACATCGGGCTCCACTCTCAGCACAGAGTCTGCTTAAGATTATCTCTCTCTCCCTCTCCCTCTGCCCCTCCCTGTACCCACTTGTGTGCACACTCTCTCTCTAAAAAAATATTAAGAAATACAAAACAAAATTACATACTTCTGTCACCCCCACAACATCCATGTGTCAATAGATGTCTGCTACTATATAAATAGAAGAATTTCAGGCCATGGACCAACGCATCTAGGAAATGAGACAAGGAAACAGCTTGATGTACCACATGAAACTTAAAAATCTCCTCAGTGATTTCTATCTTGCAGTGGCTTCCTCTGTTCTCAGCCACATCCTAACTCTGATTCAGATCGCCCCCTGATAACTACAATAGCTGCTTCTCCTGTGGTGTTGTATTTGTGCCCAAGTCTCACATTAAGAGACTCAGCCAATGTTTAAAAGGGTCTATTGTACGGAAGCAATTATGTTCAGTTCTGAAAATACAGGGTAAGATGTGACACCTCTGCCCCAAAGAAGTCCTCAATCTAGTTGAGGGACATGGAAACACAACGCTAAGGGAAGGAGCATGAAGTAAAGAGCAATTCGTTTTCCCTGGCAAGATCCTGGCAGGCTTCTAAGAAGAGGAGACAGCTTAAGAGTTAACACTTATTCAACTACCCCAATTTTGGCACTTTCCCAGTATGCCTAGCTGGCCTTTTAGTAGCACAAACCCTAAACGTGTATCTGCCAACCTCAAGCTCTAAACAATAACATGACCAGAGCAATTAATCTTTTCACATGAATTTTTCATTGGCCTCTATCTTTTAAAAAAGCTATTCTTACCTTCTTTACCCCTCTGACTACTGGTAGACACCACTTTCTTACTAGAGTTCGTATTTTATAGAAAAATACTTCAAGGTTAAGTTCAGCAGATAGCAAATACATTTTTAAATTACAAAGTATCATTTTTCTGGGGAAAATTTTCAAACTTTTTTTTTAATTTCAGCAAAGCCATGGCAATGTGTAGGGACTGTCATTTCCATGCTTTGTACTTGTAGCCTTCTTTAGAAATGTATTCAGAATGCCCATTTCATCCTTCCAAGATCGATGGCCAATTCTGTACATTCTATGCTAAAACAGCTCACCAGTTTTCTCTCACCAAACCTAAATTATAGATAAATGAAATCTACTCTCTGATAAGATTTCTTTCACAAAGGAAAGGGAACCTGGCTGCTGTGTAACAGAAAGAACACGGGCTTCAGAGCCACAAAAATACCCTTCCCTTTGTTCCTTAGCCAACTTTATCCAAACTCAGATATGCCTCCCTTGGAGATGGTACTGAAGAAGGCCACTAAACAAGCTTAAAAAAGGTAAACAGGATCTAAAAATACTTTATCTTGGAGTGCCTGGGTGGCTCAGTCATTAAGCATCTACCTTTGGCTCGGGTCATGGTCCCAGGGTCCGGGGATCGAGCCCCACACGGGGCTCCCTGCTCCGCGGGAAGCCTGCTTCTCCCTCTCCTGCCTCCCCCCCCACCCCCGCTTGTGTTCCCTCTCTCACTCTTTTTGTCAAATAAATAAAATCCTAAAAAATAAATAAAAAATAAAAGTACTTCATCTTAGTATTTTTCTACACATTGCTACCAGATGCCTGAAGCAATACTGAGAGTAGGAGCAGCAAAAAGCAAAAGGTGATTCCAATCGAATCCAATAGACAAAACATGTACTCTATACTTGTACCAATGCATTTTTAAATAGATAAATTATAGGTACACAAAGCATACTTCCAGGTAGTAACACTAGCATCTTCCCCTCAGAATACAACTGCATGATTTCTACACATTCACTTTACACACACAGGTATAAAATAAATGAGATATAAGAATAAGGGGTCACAAAAATTAATGAAGTTTAAAACAAAGTTGGCAAAAAAAAAAAAGTTAAACATAGAATCACCATTTGATCTGATAATTCCATTTCTGGATACATACACAAAAGAACTGAAAGCAGAGACTCAAACAGATATCTGTATACCAATGTTCAAAGCAGCCTTACCCATAATGGCCAAAAAGTAGAAACAACCCAGTGTCCATCAATGGATGCATGGATAAACAAAATGTATTATATCCATACAGTGGAATATGATCCAGGAGGGAAGGACATTCTGACACATGCTAAAACATGGATGAATCTTGAAAACATTATGTTAAGTAAAACAAGCCAGACACGAAAGTACAAATATTGTATGATTCTATGTATTTGACGTACCTAGAATAATCAAATGGCATGGGCACAGAAAGTTAAACAGTGGTTCTGAGGGGCTGGAGGGAAGGGAGAAATGGGGAATTTTTATCTAATGGGTACACAGTTTCAGTATAGGATGATGACAAAGTTCTGAAGATGGAGAATAGTGCTGGATGCACAACAATGTAAATGTATTCAATGCCACTGAATTGTATACTTAAAGATGATTAAAATGGCAAATTATGTATTTTACCACAAAAAAAGGTAAAGTTACCATAAGACATGAAATCAGAATTATTCAGGAGCCTAATTCATTTAAGTATTTGTAGAGTCTTTAAGCTCTATATGACTCAAACTTTTAAAATAAAGTTAATAGGAAAATTTAGGAACTGGAAATTCAGGTTCAGAAGTTACTTGTGAAATCAAGTAGGTCAATGGACTAGGTTTCTAAAAGTTTTTCTCATCATTATGCTTTCAAATATTAGGCACAGTAAGAATGACTAAAGGAAATATGCAATCATATAAGTATAGAAATCTATTCTTCTTAGAACAGTGAAAATGATAAAACAAAAAGCAAAGATATATTTGAATAGAATTAAATCCATTTCCCACTAAATGCTTGGGGAAATGGAAAAATAAAATGATAGCAAAAATCATGGGACTTGATCCCCCCTGGAACAAATTGCTTTAGGTTGTATTAATTCAGAAACCTTCTAAATTTGTTGGCTGTTCACTTTATAACTCAAATACTAATTAGGAATCGTACAATCATAACTAAGAACTTCTAAGGGTGCCTGGGTGGCTCAGTCGTTTGGGCGTTGGACTCTTGGTTTCACTAAGGTCATGATCTCAGGGTCCTGGGTTCAAGCCCCCACATCAAGTTCCCCACTCAGAGTAGAGTCTGCTTGAAGATTCTGTCCCTCTACCCCTCCCACCACTTGCACGTGCATCCACATGCACACATTCTCTCTCCCTCTCTCAAATAAGTAAATAAATCTTAAAAAAGAAAGAAAGAAAGAAAGAAAGAAAGAAAGAAAGAAAGAAAGAAAGAAAGAAAGAAAGAAAGAAAGAAAAAGAAAGAAAGAAAAGAACTTCGGCGGGGGCGGCGCTGGGTGGCTCAGTTGGTTAAGCATCCAACTCTTGATACTCTTGATTTCAGCTAAGGTCATAATCTCAGGGTTGTGAGATTGAGCCCCACAACCAGCTCCACACTGAGCTTGGAGCCAGCTTAAGATTCTCTCTTCCTCTCCCTCTGCCCCTCCCCGGCTCATGCTTGCTCTCTCCCCATCTCTCTCTCAAATAAAAAAATTAAAAAAATTCTCGGGGCGCCTGGATGGCTCAGTCAGTTAAGCGTCTGCCTTCGGTTCAGGTTGTGATCTCAGGGTCCTGGGATCGAGCCCCACATAGGCTCCCTGCTCAGTGGGGAGTCTGCTTCTCCCTCTCCCTCTGCCCCTCCCCCTGCTTGCACTCTCTCTCCCTCTTAAAAACTTCTAAAAAAATAAATAAATAACATTTTTAAAATTCTCTAGAAAGAACTTCTAGGAAAGCTGAGAACTAACCACATACTATGGTTTGAATACTTCTACTTTAAGGACTTTTCCTTTACCATCAGGATTTGGTATTATGCTCTTCTGGAATTTAAGAAAACAAAGCGGATTTGCAAGCTAAGATGGCAGCAAATGGACCCTATGCTTGCCTATCCCTAGAACACAACTGGATAACTATCAAATCATTCTGAATACCCATGAAATGGACCTGAGAACTGACAGAATAAACTGCACAACTAGAGGGAGAGAAAAAGCCACACCGAGGAAGCTGGAATTTAAATAAAAACATGGGAGGGAGAGAGAAGAGAAGAGAAGAGAAGAGAAGAGAAGAGAAGAGAAGAGAAGAGAAGAGAAGAGAAGAGAAGAGAAAAGAGAAAGGAAAGGAAAAGAAAAAAAAGAAGAGAAGAAAGTGGATGAGATGCAATAAAAAATATAAATCACTCCATTTTAAAATGGGCAAAGGATTTGAATACACATTTCTGTAAAGACGATGTACAAATGGCCAATAAGCACATAAAAAGATACTCAACATCATTAGCCATTAGGGAAAGGCAAATCAAAACCACAGTGAGATACTTCACACCCAGTAGGATGGCTAAAATTTAAAAAAATTTAAAGAGAGAATAACTAGTGCTGGCAAAGATGT